CCCCCCTCGCTTGTTGGATTAAGTAGGAGACATCACCGAGTCGTACGTGTGCATAACTTAGAGGTGGCGTTCGTGCGGCGCTCGATCGGATTGGGTTGTGAAGAGTATGACTACATTAACCATGTTCGTTGAACGTTTCCGCTTTCGGTCTATAAGGGTATGTAGACACACTTCCACTCGTTGCTAGCATCTCCTAGATTGATCTTGGGTGAATTTGTAGAAAAAAATTGTTTTTCATGCAATGTTCCCAACACCAATATCTCTCAACTAAGAAACAAAATAATTAAGCATTACTAAGATAACTTGGTCAACTATTATGTTTTCATATGATTGCCAACTACTCCCTCTGTAAGCTAATGTAGGATGTTTTAGGTCACTGACACAGGGAGTAGCAAGTTATACTTGCATCACACGTAAAAGACTAGATAACCAAAGTACACCCAAATATTGCCAGAACACATTATAAAATGCAAATGTGAAAAATTCTAAGTCACAAAACATAGATTAATTTGCGCACACCATCATAGTCGCAATCAGATTATAGCTATAAAATATTCAGAGATAGCATGGTATTGAAAATATGAAAACAACATACTTTTAAAAGGTACTCCCTCCATAAAAAAATGTAAGATTGTTTAGATCACTAAAGCGATGATCTAAAAGATCATTATTTTTACAGAGGGAGTACTGCCGTCGCCTTGAACCAAATGAAAAATGGTAGTTCAATATAGATGAAAAAAATTGTGGAAGAATTATTGCATAGAGGAGTCTAGAACAAAGGAGAAGTGGCAATGTGTTTGAGATTTGTGCATAAGACTATGTGATTGTGTACTCTTAAAAAAACATAAGTGGCAAATTTATGTTTAATCCCATAATGTGATGTTACTCATAGTGTCCAATGTCTATTTATCGTGCTTAATCCCAATCATGGAATCTTTTGAATACTAGTGCACATGAGGTTTGTACAAGCTTGGATCCATTTCCCCGTGTTCCCGGTGCTTTTCTAAAGCTGGCTAGTCATAGTGGGAGTAACTTAGCTAGTAATACATCGCATTTCAAGAAATTTTTGCTTATGTGGTCAGTAATTAGTGAAAAGTTGTAACGTAATACTACCTCCGTCATGGTTTATTAGTCCCCTTTGTATTTTGTGCCAAAGTTTGACCTGAAATTTAACTAATAAAATATTAATGCATGTCACAAAAAAAATATAATTGAAAACTATGTTCAAATACGAATCCGGCGATACAATTTTCGATGATGCATTAATATTTTGTTAGTTAAATCTATAGTCAAAATTAGGCACAAAATGCAAAGGGAACTTATAAATCATGACGGAGTTAGTATCTTACTGTAACATAGCGTTTCCCAAAATAAAATGAGTCTACAAGCTAATAAATGAAGCCACCTATGATACTACTACATCCGTCCTGGTTTATTAGCCTCCCTCTTATTTAGGGTCATATTTTGACCTTTATTTTAATTAATAACTATAAGTTATATATAGCAAAAATAATATCATTGGAAACTATGTTTGAAGACAAATCCAACGATATAATTTTTTATGACATATAATTACATTTTAATAGTTAAATTTATGGTCTAATTTTGATACAAAATATAAAGGAGACCAATAAACCAGGATGGATGTAGTACTACTATATTATTTTGCACTATAAAAATAACAATTTAGACTAATGTCATATGCTTGACACTGGTATAAGTTACTACTTCCAAGTGTGACCAGCCTGGCGTGACCTGAAGAGCTGGAATCACCCATACATGGCCCACGATAGATCTGCTTTTTTTTAGGGTCACGATAGCTCTGTTTTGATTCCAATCGTTTTCCGTGATTGAGCTACGTGATCAAAAAAACGAATGCACACGGTGCTTTTATTACGGATATTACGAGCTTTGTAGAGATCGATGCGCCGTCTCTTCGTGGAGTAGTGCAACCTTTTCGGTTTATCTTCCCAGAGCTCCCATCAGTATTAAATTAGTCTCATCAGTTGTTTGGCGTTGCCTCTCGTCGGCAAGTGCATCTCTTCAGCTCCCTTCATTTGCGATGACGGAGACCGGTGATGACCTGGGCAGCGCCGTGATGGGCATCGACCTCGGGACGGCGTGGTCGTGCGTCGGCGTGTGCCGGCAGGGCCGCGTGGAGATGGTAACCAACGAACACGGCGGCCGGACAACGCCGTCATTCGTCGCGTTTACCGACACGGAGAGGCTCGTCGGTGACGCGGCCAAGAACCAGGCCGCCCGGAACCCCGCCAACACCATCTTCGGTGAGTGCACACGATCTCTTTTTCTGTTCTGAACATTGTCTCGGCTTCTCGAATGGCTAACCGGTTCTGTGTGCTAGGTACCAAGCGATTGATGGGAAGGAGATTCGGCGACGCGTCCGTGCAGGCCGACACGAGGCTGTGGCCGTTCAAGGTCATCGCCGGCCGCCGCGACAAGCCAATGATCGCGGCGAGCTACAAGCGCAAGCCGAAGCTAGTTGCCGCTGAGGAGATCGGCTCGATGCTCGTCGCGAAGATGAAGGGGGACGCCGTGGCCTACCTCGGCGCCCCCGTCACGGACGCCGTGGTCACGGTCCCCGTGTCGTTCGACATCCTGCAGCGCCGCGCAACCAAGGACGCCTTCGCCGTCGCGGGGCTGAACGTCATCGGCGTCGTCCACGAGCCCGTGGCCGCGGCCATCGCCTACGGCCTCCACGAAAGCACGGAGGCGAAAAACGTGCTCGTCTTCGACCTTGGAGGTGGTACCACCAGCGTGGCGCTCCTCGCGGTTGCGGCGAGCAAGATCACGGTCCTGGGAACCGCCGGTGAGCCCCAACTCGGCGGTGAGGATTTCGACAGCCGCATGGTGGAGTACTTGGTCGACCAGTTCAAGACAGAGTACAAAAAAGATGTCAGTGGCAACGCGAGGGCTCTGGTGAGGCTGAGAACAGCCTGCGAGCACGCGAAGAGGACGCTCTCGTCGGCGACCTGGGCTGCCATCGAGATCGACTGTTTGCTCGACGGCATCGACTTCCGCACGGCCATCACCCGCGATCAGTTCGAGGACCTCAACTTAGACCTGTTCTGCAAGTGCTTGGACCCCATCAAAAAGTGCCTCAGCGACGCAAAGATCCGGAGGAGCGATGTGCACGACGTCTTCCTCGTCGGCGGGTCCACTCGAATCCCCCGCGTGCGGCGTATGCTTCAGGACTTGTTCGACGGGAAAGAGCTCTGCCCAGACATCATTCCCGAGGAGGCGGTGGCCCGTGGAGCTGCCATCCTGAGCGCCATGGCCAGCCGCGTGCCCGCCGGTGACTTGCTGGACCTGTTCCTGCTGGACGCCACGCCGCACTCGCTCGGCGTGGAAGCGTCCGGAGATGGCATCATGACCGTGATCGTCCCAAAGAACACCACCATTCCTATCAGGAGGGAGCAGATCGTTTCCCTCCAGCCCCATCAGAAGAGAAGTGTCGTTATCTCGGTGTTTCAAGGGGAGAACGCCACTGCAAGGAAGAACAGGTTGCTCGGAGAGCTCAAGCTTTCGGTTGTCCATCATGGTGATGGAGCGCACACCGGAGCCAAGCGCCAGATTTCAGTGTGCTTCGACATCGATGCCGACGGCGTCCTGACAGTGTATGCGACAGACAAGGCGACCAAGCGTAGGCACCAGATGAGGTTCATGGACAAAGGGCAGCTAAGCAGCGAGGAGATCGCGAGGATGGCCGAGGAGGCAGCGGAGTACATGGCAGAAGATGCGGAGAAGAGGGAGAGGGCGGAAGCAAAGAATCTGCTCGAAGAATACTTGTACCAGATGCGCCGTGCAATTGAGGTTGAGAGGAAGAAGGTGGACGATGCGCTCTCTACCGTGGAACTGATGATTCAGCAGGTGCTGGACGACCAGGTTTCCAGCGCCAGAAAGTTCCTAGACGATTTGGAAGGGCTTAAGAAGTCAGCGAAGCATACAATTGTAGGAGAGCAGGGTCATGCGTAATGCTCATCTTACTGCCACTCGTCTTAACTTGTCTACTATTAAAGGGGATGAAAAGTCGTGATGGTTCGACCACCTCATTCGATACCCTCTGCTCCCCTCCTGTGATCCCACTCTTCCCCGCACGATAAGAGCATCTCCAGCCACGTCCCCAGGAAAACCTCCCCACGCGATTTTTTTATGCCGACACTGAAAAATCGGCCCAGTCGCGCCCCAGGAGCTCGATTTTCGCCGGCCTGGGCCGAATTTAGCACCGGCGGATCCAGGCCGAACCCGGCGCGCTGGGAGGCGCCGGGACAAGCGGTTTTGGCGCCAAAAAGCCGCGGGCCCGCCGCGTCAACGACACCGCGCGTCGTCTTCCCCGAACGCCTCGGTTTCCTGCAGGGAATCAATGGCAAGGCTACCGCCCGTCAGCATTACCATTGATTCCTCACGGGCGGCGCATCATGGGACGGCGCGCCGACGCCTCCCCTCCCTCGCATGCGTACACATGGGGCGGCGCTGCTTTATAAGCGATGACCTCCTGTAACACCCTCGATGCGACTATAGCTCCCACGTGTCGAGGCACGACTTAGAGACATAATCGCATTGAAGGCATATGTCGCAAGTTAGGCAATCTTCACAAACATCTCATGTAATGTAATAATAAAAGGGAAGATAACATAGTTGGCTTACACTCGCCACGTCAATCAAGTGCATAAATTAACATCACATCAACTATACACTCAAGGCCCGACTACGGAGCCAAAATGAAAGAGAACCCAACATGCGACACGGTCCCAATCACCCCAACTGGGCACCACTACTGATCATCGGGAAAGCAAACATAGTATCGTTGAGAGTCTTCGTCGAACTCCCACTTGAGCTCATACGCGTCTCCTGGAGCGGAATCATCGGGCCCTGCATCTGGAGTTATAGTATCTGTGAGCCACACGGACTCAGCAATCTCGCACCCTCGCGATCAAGACTATTTAAGCTTATAGGAAGGGTAAGGCAATATATGAGTGGAGCTGCAGCAAGCGATTAGCAAGTATGGTGGCTAACTTATTCGCAAAAGAGAGCGAGAAGAGGAGGCAAGGCACGAGCGAGAAGCTAGAGGACAACCTGCGCAAACATTACTCCAACACTGTGTCCACTTCCCGGACTCCGCCGAGAAGAAGCCATCACGGTAACGCACCCAGTTGATTCATTTTAATCATTTAAGGTTCAAGTTATCTACAACCGGACATTAACAAATTCCCATCTACCCATAACCGCGGGCACGGCTTTCGAAAGTTCAATCCCTGCAGGGGAGTCCCAACTTAGCCCATGACAAGCTCTCACGGTCAACGAAGAAATAGACCTGCTCCCAAGACGTTCCGATCAGACTCGGTATCTCGGTAACTCAAGACACTTCGACAGGTTAAAACAAGACCAGCAACACCGCCCGAATGTGCCGACAAATCCTGATAGGAGCTGCACATATCTCTTTTTCAGGGCACACTCAGATGAGCCAAACGTCGGGTAAGCCAGCCCAGAGTTGCCCCTGGTAGCCTCGGACATCGCTCAGTGGGACCAACACTCAGAGGAGCACTGGCCCGGGGGGTTAAAATAAGATGACCCTTGAGTCTGCAGAACCCAAGGGAAAGAAAAGGGCTAGGTGGCAAATGGTAAAACCAATGTTGGGCATTGCTGGAAAGCTTTAATCAAGGCGAAATCTCAAGGGGTTCCCATTATAACCCAACCGCGTAAGGAACGCAAAATCCAGGAACATAACACCGATATGACGGAAACTAGGGCGGCAAGAGTGGAACAAAACACTAGGCGAGAGGCCGAGCCTTCCACCCTTTACCAAGTATATAGATGCATTAAGATAACATAGCAATATAATGATATCCCAACAAGTAAATAAAAGATGTTCCAACAAGGAACGACCTCCAATCTTCACCTGCAACTAGCAACGCTACAAGAGGGGCTGAGCAAAGCGGTAACATAGCCAATCAACGGTTTGCTAGGACAATGGTGCGTTAGAGGTTTGACATGGCAATTAGGAGGCTGACAAGCAAGTGGTAGGCATCGTAGCAATGGCATATCAAAAGAGCGAGCAAACTAGCATAACAAAGATAGAAGTGATTTCGAGGGTATGATCATCTTGCCTGCACAGTTGTCAGAGTTGACTGGATCCTCAAAAGCAAACTCAACGGGCTCCTCGTTAGCGAACTCGTCTCCCGGCTCTACCCAAACAAGACAAACAAGCAACAATGATACAATCAACCACGTGCAAGGATCAAGCAACATGATGCAATGATGATATGCTATGCGGGATGCGATGTGGGATGCAAAATGCAAGATATGACAGGAAATGCATGAAGCTGGCCTCAACTTGGAATTCCAAGGGTGCCACTGTAAAGATGAGATGAAATCGCTTGAAAACGATATAAAGAACGCCGGAATCGGAGTTACGGTTTGGAAATGGCAAGCGATTTAAGAATGACACCGGTCTGCGATTTACAGCAAGTAGGCATCTAAATGCAACGAAATGAACATGCTACAGCCACCAAACATGACAACAAAATACATGGCAGGGATGCACACAAGATGCTTAACAAAAGACTAGCACTGAGCCACGGCCAATTCATCAATTACGAGGTTCAAACAAGCATGGTAAAAACACAAATGCAAAACAGATTTCAGACTTAGTGAAATTAACACTTGTCTGGAATTTCAGATCATATAGCCCACTTCGGAGCAACAAAACAACATGATACATGACCTGATCATGACAAAGAAAGATATGGCATGGAGCTACTCAACAAGCTTAAAAAATACCTTAGTGACCTTGAGCCAAAAGGGATTACAAAATTTACTAACAAGCCCACGGACCTAGCTAAAACACAATCAGTTTTCAGACTTAGTGAAAACTGGGACATGCTGAAACATAACTCACGAAGGCAGGTTTACGAGCTCGATGCACTCATCACGGTGCAAGTCATGGCAAGACAAGCATACACCCATTAAGAAGACACAAAATTCTAGCTAGACATGGAAAGAACAATGGCATAGCATGCACGTATTAACTACAATGACATCGGCAAAATCGCAAACAAGTTGACGATCTGCCCAGATTCACCACGAAGCAAAAGTAGAGCTTGATTGACTCAAGCTATGTTGCTCCATAATTACAAACAAAGACATAGATGAATAAAGCATAACAAGATTAACAAAACTCCTCTACTAATCATTCTCAAAAGAGGCACGGATAACTAGGAAACAACACGAACATAGGGCATCATGAACTAAATAATCTCAGACTTAGTGAAAACTACTAAGTCCCTGAAAACAGATTTACCGGGTGCCTCACTTTGCAAGCTTGCACAAGTCACCACACACATCACAAAAATGCATGGGTTGCACCTCTGCAAAAAGACAAAATCCTTAATAAAACATATGAAGGACTCACAGGCATAGCATGCACACAATAATCATGGCAAAAATGACAAAAGTCTAAGATGAACTAGCAGATCTGACAATTAACTCACGAAGCCCTCTTCTAACAGCATTTCGGGCATCAAGATGAACTCAAATGAAAATGGTGCAATGGAATGGAATGATGTACTCTCTGAGATGAACATTTTGATATGCTATATGCATGAACCGGAGCTACGGGTGCAAAATTATGGAGCCGCGAACATGGGCATATGGAGTAAAAATTCTGAGGACTTAGTGAAAAAAAACTACCCAGATCTGGATCTAGGGTTTCGGATCACTGTAGCAACCGGGTCGGGGCGCGCCTCCCGAGGCAACTCCGGCAAAGACAAGGACGGCGGCCAGCGGGGGCGACGTCCGGTGGCCGGGGCGGCGGCGCCAGGGTCGCGGTGGCTAGAGCCGGGGCCGGCTGCGGGCCGGGCGACGCCGGTGAGCTCCGCGGCGGCTCGGGGCGGCGACGACGGCTGCGGCGGCCCAGCGACGAGGTGGCGACGGCGGCCGGCGGGGCGGGCCGCGGCGGCGCGACGCCGGAGTGGAGGGCGACGGCGGCGGGCGAAGGGCGCGGGCGGCGAAGCGGCTTCGGGCTGGGGAGG